AGACAGAGACAAAGACAGACAGACAGACAAACAGGCAGGCTGAAAGACAGAGGCAGACTAGAATGAGTGACTCCTGTGGCTCTGAAAGGCCCGAGGGGGAGAGCGGGGGTGGGGGTCGAGAGCTGCGAGCCGAGACGTGACGATAAGAAAAAGTATATTTTCGGTAACGAGTAGATTTTTGAGTGGGGTGGGAGGAGGGGGAGGAGGGAGGATTTCGGTGTAATAAGGAAGAGAAAAAATGTGAAGTTTAAAAAAAATGAAGCTCAGGGTCATAGAATTGGCAAGGAAAAAAGAAGAACATACGGAAGTTTTTTTAATTTCCGAGAGGGGCCGAGCCTTAGGCCTGAATTTGGAGGGATCTGCGTGGGATGGGCGTGAAAGAGAGAGAGCTGGCGGGTGGCAGGCAGACGAGGCGTGGCAGGGGGAAGGGAAGGTGCGGCCCGACAAGGGAGGGACGGAGTTGGAGGCAGGGAGAGGAGGCGAAGGGTGGCAGAGGCCGACGGAGGAAGCGCTCAAAGTTCAGAGCAGGCACAACTCGCGAAGGGAAAGAGGAGGGGAGGGAGAGTTGTGTGCCTCGCGCGGGGATTGGACGGGGGGCGGGGCGGGGTGGGGGTGGGGGGCACGCCTGCTTGGTCGCCTAGGAAACCTCGGCCAACTTCGGCGTCGTCGCTTTGGCTCTCCTCCGGCGGCCCGTCCGGAAGCCTCCGCGGGAGAGGGACGCCCTTCGGCAAGAAGCCCCCGCGTTTTCCGCGATCTGGCTTCAGGGTTTCTCTTCGAGCTTGGAAAGAGGGCACTGAAGGGTGCTTGATTTGGCACTTCGGAGCCGCGGAAGCAAAGTCGGGTGGCACTCCCGTGTGTGTGTGGCCATTGTTGAAGTTTGATCTTTGCCCCTCCTTTGGCGCTTGTAATCCCCCCCCCCCTCGTACCCCCAGTACCGCGACACATACTCGAGGTTGACAGCTTCAATTACACAAAGTGTTAGCTGAAGTTAAAAGATCTGCTCTGAAGGTAGGCATTAAATTGCTTAATCGGGCGCAGCGACTGAGGCCTTCTCAAAGTTTTACCCGTGGACCTGCTTTAGGAGAAATAGCCATATACTATGTGAAACCCCCATCCGGTTGTTGAAGACGCTTAGGGCAAACTTTTACACTTGAGGTTTGGCTGAAGCCTCTCTCATCAAGGGGAATCTTTTTCATCATTTGTGTCGTTTTTTTCTCTCTCTTTTTCTTTTTGAGAGGGGTGGGGTGGGGGGGGGGTGGACTCTTAAATTTTCGAGTCCCAGCCAAGAGAGCAGTTTAATAGAGATGAAAGGATCGTGTTAGCCATTGACGACAAAAGGGTAATTGTTGTACGCCTGTATAGCTCTCCTCTTTATTTCTGGCTTCTTCGTTTCCACTTTTAACCAGAATTCATTTTGCCCTTTTTAATGACGGCGCCGAAGCTATTGCAGATGAAAAGCTACGGCGGGGGCTCTCGGCAGCTTTGTGGGGATGACGGAGCTCGGATGGCAGCATTCTGAGGCCGGTCGGCGAGTGAGCAACTTTTTATATTATGTTACAGAACGCGCGCAGTTAATATTCTCCATTTTAAATGTGTTGATGGCGTAGAAAAGAAAACGCGGAATTTCGAACAATGACATTCATGTGCTTGGGTTGTTTTTTATTTTTTAAAATTATTATTATTATATATTTTTTTTTTACGCTATTGTTTCGTGGCAAAACCGCGGTAAAGTTCTGCATTCTGTGATCATTACTGCGCCTCCCTTTGTTCTGTTGTTCGAAGGGGACAATGGCAAAATAAGTCGTTTCTGATGTGATGTTTTGTAAGTTGGGATTTTTTTTATCTATTGTGGAACATTAATCCAACGATAATCCGGTTACCGTTGTTAATAATCGCTGTTGTATCGCGACCAATGCCATTTTTATATATAGGTGATGTCATGCCATAACTCTAATTAGCAGCATTAAGAGGGGATAAACTAGCAAGCCATTGCACCATTGTGGCTGCTGCAATTAGAGACATTATTATTATTATTCCGTTACGCTTTGAAAGAACTTTATTGTCTATATATAAGTGCGAGAGACCCTTTCGCCGGGGTCTTGAGGGCTGGGAAATGGAGGCGTATTTACCCAGTGCCAGGGGTTTGGCACTAGGGAGTCGGGGTGCCACGCGATGATACTCCGAGGGGGAGCTCCGATTCGTGGGAGTTGGTGCGAAGGAAAAGGCATGGAGGAATAGGTGATGGTGAGTGTTTGAGCAAATGAGAGGGAGAAATGAGCGACTTAATTTTGGAAGAGAGTTGAGGATGAGGAGGAAGGAGAAGAGGAAGGAAGAGAAGAGAATTGAGGAAGTAAAGGAAAGGAGAAAGAAGAGGAGAAGAAGAGAAGAGAAAGAAGAAGTGAGAAGAGAGAGAAGATAGAAGAATAGAGAAATAAGGAGAAGAAGAAAAAGAAATAGAAACGAGAAGAAGAAGAGGAGGAGAAGAAGCAGAACAAGGACAAGAAGAAGAGAAGTAAAGGAGGAAGGAGAAAGAGAATGTCTTGCGAGAGAGAAAAGGAGAAACGATTATGCAGAGAGAGAGGAGAGAGAGAGAGAGGAGGGAGAGGGAAGAGGGAGAGGAGCCGTAATGAAGGAAGCGATAAAGATAATGAGCTGAGAGAGGTAAAGGGATAGCGAAGAAGACCCATAAAGAGCCAAGAAGGAGAAGAAGAGAGATGAACATGAACATAGAAAAAAGAACAGAATAAAGAAGGGAAGAAAGAGGAAGAAAATTGACAGTAACACATTGAAAACAATGAAAAGGGAGATACCAGACCAAACAGACACTGAAAAAAAAAAACAACCAAATGTTTATAAAAGGTGAAAAATGAAAAAATAACCACGCAAACCGTGGATATTGAGAACAGGTAATATTAATTGCCTAATTAATGAACTGGCAGCGGCTCAGGGGACAATTAACGACCCTCGATGACAGTGCAGCGACGACGGAGGGAGGAGAAAAGAGAGGGGAAAGGGAGGAGAGAAGGGGGAGGAGGGAAGGGAGAGGGAGGGAGGAAGGAGAGAGAGAGAGAGAGAGAGAGGGAGGGAGGGAGGGAGAGAGGGAGGGAGGGGGAGGGAGGAGGAGGGAGGGAGCAGCTCAGTCAGTCGTCCCGTTTTTGTGGCGACATTTGAGAAGGGAGGTCCAAAGCGGCCGCTAATTGTTTTGCATAATGTAGCTGTAACTTACTCTGTCGTTGATTGGTTCGAGGTGACTTCCTTTCTTTTTTCTCTTTTTTTTTTTTGGTCTCTTCTTCGGTTTTATCAGGTCTTCTCACTCTCTCTCTCTCTACTGTCATCCTCTCTCTCTCTTCTCTCTCTTTCTAGTTCTCTCTTCTCTCGAGAAAGTCTCGTATAACAGAAACGTCTGAGTCTATCTGTCTCTCTCTTCTCTCCTCTCTCTTCTCTCCTGTCTTCCGCTTTCTCCTGTCACACTCATTCTCTTTCCTCTCTCCCTCTCTCGGCTCGCTCTTCATGTCTTCTCCTTCGTTCCCATATCCTTTCTCCCCCATAACCTTCGCTATTCTTCCCCCATACCCGTCCCCCCCCCTCACCCCCCCCCTCCAAGCCATGGCCACCTCGAACAGGACCCCGGATGTTTTGGCCAGCCCAAACATCCCTTCGCGCGCGGGGGGGCCACTGGGCTGGGAACGCCCCCGATGGGAAGGGGGGTGGGTGGAGGGGGGTATGGGCGGTTAAAGAGGGGTGGGGTGGGGGTTTGGCGGTTAAAGGGGGGTGGGTGGGGTATGGGCGGTTAAGGGAGGAGTGGGAAAAAAAAGGGTGAAATGAGGGTTAAGGGGAGGGGGGGTTTGGGAAGGGGGTAAAGGTATTGGAGAGGAATATGGAGGGGGAGGGTTAGGAGGTTAAAAAAGGGGGAGAGAGGAAGGGTGAGGGTTGAGGTTAAAAGGGGGGTGTAGAGGTAAGGGGGGAAAGGAGAAGAGTAAAATGTAAGGGAGGGAGGGGAGAGGGAGAGGGTATAGAGAAGGAGGGAGAAGGTGAAGAAAGTAGAAAGGAGGGAGAAGGGGGGAGTGGGGTTGGATAGGAAGATAAGAAACAACAACAAAACAAACAAACGCACGCATAGACGAAATGCGAGAGAGAGAAAAAAATCGAAATGCCGAAACGAAAGAAAAACGGAAGAAAAAGAGACAACCAAAATAGCAGAATGAAAAAAAGTAAAATCAAAAAAAGAAAAGAAAAGGGGAAAGAGAATGAGGAGAATAAAAAAGAGAGAGAAAAGGAGAAAAAGAGAGGAGAGAGTGATGGATAAGACGAATCATGACGAGGCGAAGGGAAGGATATGTGGGAGAGCCGAGGTCATCAGGACAGGATAGCAGGGATTTGGGAGTGATGGAGGAACGGCCCGGTGCAAGTTGGGTCACGGGGAGGGGGGGGGGCCTTTGAGGTGAGGTGGGGGGTTTTGGGTCATAGGAGAGGGGGGGGGGATGCTGGGTCAGGAGAGAGGAGAGTGGGGGGGGGGAAGAGGGGTGAGGGGGAGGAAGGTAATTGGGGAAGTGGGGGAGAGGGAATATGGAATAAGGGGAGCATCGTTGAAGGGGGATGGGTGGGGTAGGGGGGTGGGGTGGCGACGACCTCTCATAGGCCTACGATAAACTGATCTCGGGCGCAGTTTTTTATTTTTCCTTCCTGTGTTGATTTTCGCCGGACTGGTTTCCACGCCCCGACCGCCGGCTACTTCATTTGGGACCGACTCGGACGTCGTGTGTGTGTGTGTGTGTGTGTTGTGTGTGGTAATTGAGGACACAGTTCAGATGATGGAGTGACTTGTTTAGCGAGTCCGCGAGACAGCCGAGACGCAGACAGAGAGGCAGGCAGGGTGACTGAGGCCTCGTACAGACGGACATTCACATGCATTCCATCAGGCACTGTCCATGCATGCGTTAAACGGCGCTTGCCTCCCCTCGCTTTGGGCGCGCGACTAACCCCTCCCGTTTCTTCCCCAGAACGACACCGTGCGACTGCTGTGGGCGTACCACTCCGACGACCCCGTGGACCCCGAGAGCCCCCGCCCGCGCCTGCACTACCACGGCGCCAAGAGGGGCGTGCGCTCCATGTTCCTGCTGGAGCGGGGCCACCGCGCGCCCTCGCACAGCCGCCACACGCAGGACCTCCCCGGGGGCTTCTCCGCCCACGACGCCGGCCTGCCGCCCTCGCGCTCCCCCGGGCTGCCGCCGCGCTTCAACGCCGCGGGCGGCCACCACCACAGCCACCACCACCACCACAGGGCGCCCCTCACGCGCTCCTGGGTGCTCACCAACAACGGCGTGGAGGTGGACGCCGCCAGCGACACCGTGTACTGGTGCAAGGTGTTCAAGCGGCCGCAGCTCATCCAGAAGAACCACGTCATCAGGGTGAGTCTCGGGCCGCCTCGGTCTGCGCCGACGCCGCATAAGCGGTTCACTTGTTTTTAAAAGATTTTCTGTTGTTGCCGCCATGTTTATTCAGTTCAGTTGGAATTCTTTAAGGATTTTCTGTTGTTACCGCAATCTATATTTAGTTGGATTTTTTATAGATTTTCTGTTGTGAACGCCATATTTATTCAATTCAGTTGGAATTCTTTAAGGATTTTCTGTTGTTAACGCCATATTTATTCAATTTAGCTGGATTTTTAAAAGATTTTCAGATGGTAACGCCATATTTATTCAGATCAGCTGGATTTTTAAAAAATTCTGTTGTTAACGCCACATTTGTTTTTACATTCTGATGTTTAATTATTTCAAGGTCTTATTTTGTCTTCTCTCCCCCTTCTCATCGCATATTCTACTTTCTTCGTCTTCGCAAGATCCTGTTTCTTCTCCTCTCCCCCTCGCCCTCATGATTTACTTATTCCTGCGTCATTTTCCTTCCCTGAATTTTGCTTCCTGAGTTTGACTTCTTGTTTTCTTTCCTTCTTCCTCTTCCTCCTCCTCCTCATCTTCATCGTCGTCGTCATCATCATCATCATCATCATTATCATCATCATCATCATCATCATCATCATCAATCATCATCACATCATCTCATCATTTTCTTCCTCTCTCTCCTCCCTCCTCCTCCTCCTCCACCTCTCCTCCTCCTCTTCCACTCCTCCTCCTCCTTCTCCTGCTGCTGCTGCTCCTTCACCCCTTCGTCCTCGTCCTCGTCCTCCATCTCTACCTCCCCTCCCTTTCTTCCTCCTCCTCAATCTCCTTCTATTCCTCTGAGAAGACGTTAGAGCAGTAATCACAACCAGCTGCTCGTATTTTACTGTCAATAAATAAGCAGTAATGAAATAAGGCTGGCGTGTAATCATCCCATGCAATCACGAGGGGAAAAGCAATAAGGAGCAACCTCGCTTTCCCCTCTCTCCTTCCTCTCTCTCCTCTGCTTCTCTCCTCTCCTCTCCTCTCTCTCTCCTCTCCCTCTTCCTCTCCTCACCTCTCCTCTCCTCTCCTCTCTCTCTCCTCACTCCTGCTCCTCTACCTCTCCTCTCCTCTCTCTCCTCTCCTCTCCTTCCTCTCCTCTCCTCTCCTCTCGCTCTCCCTCTACTCTTCTCTCCTCGTTCTTGTCCTCTCGCTCTCCTTCAATCCCGACCGCTCTTGCGTAGCTGGATACACTGGGATTTTCTCTCCTGCTCGCCGCCTCCCTCCGGCTGCCTCCTCCTCCTTTGGTTCATTTCCTGTTTTTTGTAAACGTTTGTCCAATCGCCCTCCCCTTAATTCCCGCTACCGACCGTTTCTTTCCTATCTTCCTCCTCCTTGCTCATTTCTTCTTACTAGATCACTGGCACCCCTGCCATGAGTAGGGACGCTGCGGTCGGCTAGGCCCACTTTTTGCCCCTCGCCCTCCACTCCCTTGTCAGTATACACTCCGTCGGCAAGGTCCGCGACGCAAGCACCGCTTCGCAACCGATCGTCCGTTTTCCGCTCGCCGTGTTTCATGCCCCTCCCCGTATCTTCTCTCTCTCTCGGTCAATCTCTCCACGTCTACGCTCTCGTCTCTCCTCTCTCGTCTCTCTCTTCTCTCTATCTCGTCTCTCCTCTCGTCTCTGGCTTCTTCTCCTCTCTCTCCTCTCCTCTCAGAGACAATGCACGCCTCTCTCTCCCATCTGATCGTTCCCTGCGTCTCTCCCTCTCGTCTCGTCTTCTCTCCTCTCTACATCTCTCTCGTCCCTCTCGGTCGCCTCTCTCCCTCTCTGTTGTATCTCTCTCTCTCTCTCTCAGGTCTCATGTCTCTCTCTCATCTCGATCTCTCCTGTCTCTCTCCTCACTCCATCTCGATCTCTCTCTCATCATCTCTCTCTCATCTCGTGCCTCCCTCCTCTCTCCCTCTCCTCTCCCTCTCCTCTCCGTCTCCCTTCCCTCTGCCCTCTCCCTCTCCCCATCTTCCCTCGCCTGCCCCCCCCTCCCGTGTTGCCTGTATCGAGACCCGTGTTCACACCCCTCCTCTTCGAGTCTCCCCTATTGCAAGTAACGAAGCCCGTGTTCACGTCAGAGAGAGAGGCACTGATAAGAGACGAGTAAGCTAACGCCGGGCAACGAGGCGTACCTGCACCAAAGCATCATCGGTGTACGAGTGCACGAACATGGGTCCGTCGCTGGACGTGGCCTTCGAGGCGCTGGCCGACTCCCCGGGCCACGAGTGCTTACCAAGACCAACATGTCGCAGCTGATCTACACGTGCAACCACGTGGTGGTCGCCCTGGGCGCTAGGGTCAGAGTACGTTGCTGTCTGTCTGTCTGTCTGTCTGTGGGCGTGCGTGCGTGTGGTGTGTGGTTGTTCGTGGTTGCATTAGGAAGTAATATAGGGTAAAAGAATATATTTTCAGTAGCATCTGTGTAATTTATCGTTGTTTTTTGTTTTTTATGTGTATTTTGGTTATATATATGTGTGTGTGTGTTTGTGGTGTGTGTGGTGTGTGCCTCACTGTGTGTGTGTATGATGATAGTGTGGTAGGGGTATGTATAGATTTTTTTTTCGTCTTTTTATTAATTGTTGACTATAGTGAGCGATGTGTTCTCCGTTTTTTTTCTATCAATGGTAATATTAATTTTCGTTATATCCTTATGGTCATGCGCGTAAAAAATGAACACTATTTAAGAATGGAAGTTAGCCGGCGATGCTAATGAAATGTCCCACGGATTATACCCGAAGTGAAACAAGACAACGCGTAAGTCTTAACCGTGGACGCCAAGGCCAGACCTCCGCAGGGGGCCGACGTTACGTCCACAAGTTATCGCTATCGAATGGAATCAAAAACGAATGTGACGCCTGCCTTTACTTTATGCGGGGAGGAGCTAACTGCCTAATCTGCTTAGAAACAATTTAAGGAAGTACTTTCGTTGGGGTCCGTCTTAGAGAAATGCGGTAAGATTTATGAGCCGGGCCTGACCGGCTCTTTGAGGGATAAAAAGTCAGAGGTTTTACTTGTTTTTTTTTTTTCGTTTTTCTTCTTTTTTTGATTGTTGCCTTGTCTTGTGCTGTTTCTCTCATTACCCTCTTGTTAATCTTTTCTTTTTCAATATTTTTTTCGTTTTTCTTGTTCTCTTACGAAGTCTTTTCTTTTTCTCTTTCTCTTTCTTTCAGTGTCTTCTTCCTCGTTCTTTTCATATTGGATCTTATTCGTCTCTTTGCTTTCTGTCTTTATGTATTGTCTTTTTCTCTTTTTCTTAATCTTCTCTTTCTGTTCTTTCCTTTTCGTTCTTTTCTTTCTTCTTTATCTCCTCTTTCTCACTCCAAATGGACGAAGATTATTCTCCTTCTCTGCTCTTCTCTCTCTCTCTCGTCTCTAGAACTGGCTCTCTTCTTCGTCTCCCTCAATCTGGGACCAGAAAGATCTGATCGTCAGTCCTCTGCTCTCCGACTCGTTTCGTCCATCGCGATCTCCTCCCGGTCTCTCCTCGACCTTCTGGTCGAGATCTCTTCATCCCTCCTCTGCTCTCTCTCATTCTCACATTTTCTCTTCCGGCTCTTACTCCTACTCCACATGTCTCGCACTGCTCAACTTTCAAACAATTAAACGAAAAAAAAAAACGAGAGATTTTGTCTTACTTTTAATCAGGAAATAAACATTTAAAAGGGCAGAGTTGATCGTCACATTGAATAATCGACGACTAATTCACCCCACTCTCGACATTGTTGCAATCGATAAACATCAGCACCCGGTATTAACGAAGCCGAAGTCAGTGCCAACGCAAAATACACAATAAAAATAAATAATGACGCGTAAATAAAAACTACTCCAAGATAGAGATAATCATAAGTGAGTAACCAATGAATAAATACGTAAACACAAACAAAGTGGAATTCAAGAAGGTAAGGTTAAAAAAAAAAGATAATAGAAATAAAATGGAAGAGATCCCGCGGGTGCGAACGCCGGCCATCAGCATTCCGAGGCGGCCACGATGCCAGTCCCTTTGCGAAGGCGATGGTTATGCTTGCTTTTACGGCTCTTAAGAACAAGCGAGGTGCACGCAGGTAGGCCGTAGTGTGCGGGAAGAGGGTCGTGCCGCGTTACGGTTTGTTGACTGGGTTGTTTTTTTTATTTTGTTTTTATTTTTTGAAGCCTGTCGATTGTTCTTTTTTTTCTCTTTTTTTTTAGTCTGTGGATTGGTCATTTTTTGTTTTGGTTTTTGGGATTAATTGCTGCGTTTTTTTTTCGTTTAGATGGCTGGGGTTTTTTTTTTATATTATTATTATTATTATATTTTTTTTTTTTTTAGTCTGTGGATTGGTCATTTTTTGTTTTGGTTTTTGGGATTATTGGATTAATTGGTGCGTTTTTCGTTTTTAGAGAATTACAAGTTTTTTTTAATAGATTATTATATTTTATTAGGGAAGTATATCTGTAAGTTCTGAGTCGGGCTTGGAAGCTTATTTTTAGTAACAGTCACTCGTCTCGGAGAGCGTGTCATATTCAAACAAATATGAATAGATTGCGGTTAATAATAGGAATATAATACATAATCAAAGAGCTATATTTCTTAAGATTTATATTTTTTTTCGCTGGAATTATAAAAACACGAAATCTCAAAGAAATAGCAAATTTTGTGAAAAACACTTGGCTTGACGAAGAACTTGGATAAAAACAGAAAAAAATCGTGGCATAGTTCCCTCAGGTGCCGAGAATAAGCAGCAAACAAGGCAGCAGACAACTACAGTGTCATTGTCTCTCGCGTAAACACATACAAGCCCATTAAAAAGGCATGTGACAAGCCCGACATGCCAACGAGCTGTCCGACCTGCATGGCACCGTGTCGCGGCACCCACGACTGGAGGGATGCGATTTTTTTTTCTTTCCCTTTTTTCTCTTTACTCTTTCTCTTTTTCTGTTCGTTTACTTTCTCTCTTTCTCCCTCTCTTCTTTCTCTTCACTCTCTTTTCTTCTCTCTCTTCTTTCTCTCTTCTCTCTCTCTCTCTCTCTTTCTCTCTCTTCTCTCTCTCTCTCTCTCTCTCTCTTCTCTCTCTTCTCTCTCTCTCTCTTCTTCTTCTCTCTCTCTCTCTCTCTCTCTCTCTCTCTCTCTCTCTCTCTCTCTGTCTCTCTCTCTCTCTCTCTCTCTCTCCCTCCTCCTCCTCCCTCCTCCCTCCTCCTCCCTCCCTCTCTCTTTCCCTCCCTCCTCCCTCCCTCCCTCCCTCTTATTCCTCAAAGCCTCGAACCTTGTCCCCTTGCTTGAGTGCAGTCTTCTTGCAAGATGCAGCGCAAGGAACCGGGGGGGGGGGGAGGGGGGGGTGTTTTGGCGTGTAACCGGGGGCTCTCTACTTAATCTCGGTCTTGTGTTTACTCGCTCACTACAGTTGTTTGGTTGATATTGCATCTATCAAACGCCCGGGGTGGTTTGGTGGTAGGGGGAGGAGGGGGAGGGGGAGGAGAAGGGGAGGGGGAGGGGAAGGGAGGGGATGGGGAGAGGGAAGGAGAGAAGGGATGAGGAGGGGAGGAGATGGGGGATGAGGAATGGGAGGGGAAGGGAATGGGGAGGGGGAGGAGAAGGGGAGGGGATGGGAAGGGGAAGGGGAGGGAAGGGGGATGAGGAGGGGAAAGGATGGGGAAGGAGGGGGAAGGGGGGAGGGGGGAAGGGGAGGGAATGGGAGGGAAGGGGGGAAGGGGAAGGAGGGGAGGGGATGGGGATGTGAGGGAAAGGGGAGGAGGGGGGGAAGGGGCATGAGAATGGATGGGAGAGGAGAAGGGATGGGGAGGGGAGGGGAGGGGTGGTGGTGGGGGTTGCTTCATCCTACCGCTTCCTTCTGCTCGTGTGCCTGCTTCTGCTTTCGCCTGGCTTCGCTTTTTTTTGTGAATTTTAGTTTTAATTATCTGCGAACTAGTTTTTTGTTTATGTTAACCAGTTTTCTCTCTCTCCCTCCCTTGTGCTTCTTTTTGTTGCTGGTATCCTTTATCATCACTCTTCGTCAGTCCTTCTTTTACTCCTCCTCCTCCTCCTCCTTCCCCTTCCCGTCCCTTCCCTCCTCTTTCCTCTTTCTTCCTCTTTACTCCCCGGTCCTCCTCCTCCTCTCCTCCACCTCCACCATCCTCTCTCCTCTCCTCCTCCTCCTCCTCCTCTCCTCCAACTCCTCCTCTCCTCCCCCTTCTCCTCCTCCTCCCCCTTCCTTCCTCCTCCCCTTCTTCACCACCTCCACCTCCTCCTCCACCACACGCTCCTCCCTCCTCCCCTCCACTCCTCCTCCACCACACTCCTCCTCCTCCTCCTCTCCTCCTCCTCCTCTCACTCTCTCCCCTCCTCTCCTCCTCCCCTTCGCTCTCCTCCCCCTTCCCCTTCCTCCACCTCCACCTCCTCCTCCACCACACCTCCTCCTCCCTTCCCTCCACCTCCCTCCACCACCACCCCTCCTCCTCCTCCTCCTCCTCCTCCTCCTCCTCCTCCTCCTCCTCCACCACCTCCTCCTCGAGAGCGCCCGCCGCCCGCCCGGTCACAGTCCGCCGGGCGTGCTTTTTCCCTCGAATTTATTAACCTTTTTCTGTCTCTTATTCCCTCCTTTTATGAGCTGGCACCTCATCACACGGCGCGCTGACTCCTCACAGCCCGCGGGAGACCGTTAGGGCATGCGAGATTTATCCTTGGAGTTTTTTCCTCACTTTTTTCCTTTTTTTCTTTTTTTTTCTTTTTTTTTCTTTTTCCTCTATTTTCTTTCCTTTTTCTTTGTTTCCCTTTTCTTTCTTTTTTTTCCATTTTTTTCTTTTCCTCTTTTTGTTTTTTTTCTTTCTTTTTTTTCCCTTTTTTTCTTTTCCTTTTTTTCTTTTTTCTCTTTATTCTTTTTTCCCCTTTTCTTTTTTTTTCCTGCTTTGTTGAGGATGAGGGATGCGTTTGACGTCGCCTTCCGCCGCGTCTGTTGTCTTGTCTCCTCCATTTTCCTCTCTCCTCACTTCTCTCTCCTCTCTCCTCGCGGATATCCGATCTCTCGCTTCATTCTCTATTTTTTATGTTCTCTCTGTCTCCTCTTCTCTATTATCTGCCTTATATCTTTCTTTGTCCTCTCTGTTCTCTCTTTCTCTGTATTTTTATGTTCTCTCTTTCTCTTCTCTGCTATCTGCCTTATCTTTCTTTTGTCTTTTAGATTTTCCATTCCTCTCTCTTATTATTACATTCTCTCCTCTCTCCTTTTTCCCACTCTTTCTCTCTCTTTTCTCTTTCTTCTTGCCGCCTACTCCTGTCTACTTCCTCTGTCTTCTTCTCCTCTCTCCTCTCTCCTCTCTCCCTCTCCCTCTTCTCACTTCACGCTCCTCCTTCTTGTGTCTCTTTTCTGTTTTTTTTTTTTTTTTTTTTTTTTTTGTTTCTCGTCTTCATTTCTAGCGTTACAAACAAGTGATGGGAGAGGGGGGAGAGGGAGGGAGGGTAGGAAAAGGGAGGGTTGAAAGGGGAGGGGGAGGGGGAGGGATGGGCGCGGAGGGAACTCGTTGTGACAGGTTTGTGACAGGTTTGGCACTGCGGCGCGCGGGGTGCCACGGGATCAGCCGGGGTATATTCGTATATCCGGGTGACGTTGTGGATACGAGCTGTGGATGCATACCTCTGCGCGTGTGTGTGTTTTTTTCCTTTCAATTATTATTACTATTTTTATGTGTCCTTATTCACCGAAGTACCCTGCCCACCTACTCTGCCCCTCCTACCCACCCCTACCTCCCCTCCGCTACAACAACCATCCCACCTCCTCCTCCCTTACCACCCTCTTCCAAGCCCCCACCCCCTCTAATTCTTACCTCCCCTTCTGATCCTCCCCCTATCACCCCACCCCCTTACCAACCCCCCACACCCCCCCCCCCTCCCATCCCCCCCACCCTCCACCCCCATTACCCACAACACCCCCCCTCTCTCTAATTCCCCCTTCTCTCCCCTCGACCGCCAGGGCCTCACTCTGCCCTCGGAGGCCGGCTACCCGCTCACGCCGACGGGGCCCAAGTTCTACATGATGGAGGCCCACTACGACAACCCCGAAGGACACTCCTTCAGGGACTTTTCAGGGATTCGGATCATCTACACGCCCGAGCTCAGGTCCTACGATGCTGGTGAGTGGATCCTCGTGTTTTTCTTTTTTTTTAATTCTTTATTATATTTGTTTATTTGTTTATTTATTTTTTTTTACGGTGTTTTCTTTTGTGGTATTTTTTTTTATTTTATTTTTTTTTATTTTTTGTTATTTTTGTGTTTTTTTTGTGATATTTTTAATTTTTTTTTTTATTCTTTTTTTGTTATTGTTTTATATTTGTTTGTTTTTGTTGATTGTTTGATTGGTGTGATTATTTACTTATTTGTTTGTTTGTTGCCTTCTCGGTTTTCTTTCTCCTTTCGGTCTATTTTCATTAATGTGTTTGCCTATTTTCGTTATTTCTTTGCTGTTTCATCGTATTCTTTTCTTCCCTCTTGGTCGTATTTTTCCTGTGTTATTTCCAAACTTTTCGAAGCGCTTGGATTTTCACTTTTTCTCCATGCATTTCTTTCCTTCTTTTTCTTTTTCTTTCTTTCTTTATCTCTTTCTTTATTTCGTTCTTTCTTCCATTTTTCTCTCTTTCCCTTTCCTTCTTCCTTTTTTCTGTCTCTTCTCTCTCTCTCTCTCTCTCTCTCTCTCTCTCTCTCTCTCTCTCTCTCTCTCTCTCTCTCTCTCTCTCTCTCTTCTCTCTCTCTCTCTCTCTCTCTCTTCTCTCTCTTCTTTTTTTCATCATCGCCTGTGTCGTCTTCTTTAATCAAGTTTTCTGCCTTAATATCTCTTTGATAACTTTTGTCTGGGAATGCGGAGATGAGTTTGCATTTTCCATATTGCATTGCACCGAAAAAAAACAAGACGAAATTAAAACGAGGAAAGTCGGAAATTAAATGGAAATGTTTCATATTAATTACTATTAGTTATATGAATCCCTGTAAATCGGTGCGTAATTATATGTATAAATAGATTAGAATAGATAGATAGATAAAAAATGTCTGCTAGTAGATAGAGTAGAATAGATAGATAGATAAAAAGGTGTCTGCTGTAAAATGAATTAGAATAGACAAACGGATAGATAAAAAAGATGTCTCCTAGTAGATAAATTAGAATAGATAAACAAGAGATAAAACAGGTATCTCCAATTAGATATATTAGAACAGATAAATAGACAGATTAAAAAAAAAACTTTCATAGTCAAACATTTGTCGAAATCGCCCTTCAAAATAAAACTTTGCAGGAGTCCTGAGCGTGGGCCTCGACCCGAACTGGAAGCACCTGATCCCGCCCCGCCAGAGGACCGTGCTGTCGGAGGGCCACTGCGTCGCCGAGTGCACGCAGGAGGCGCTTCCTAGGACAGGTGAGTGCCAGCGTGTGTGTGGAGGGCCAAGGCCGCTGGAGTAGCGTCCTGCTGATCGTGGTTTACATGTGCTTATAGATATATGTATATACACATACTTACATGCATATACACATACATACATACATATATATATATATATATATATATATATATATATATATATATATATATATATATATACATATACGTGTATACATATATACATATATACTTAGATTCATAGATTCATACATACATAACATACATACATATATACATACATATACACATACAGATACGAAAACACATACATACATACATACATACATATACATATATACATATATATAAATATACATACAGACATGCGTACATACAAACATATCTGATATATATATATATATATATATATATATATATATATATATATATATATATATATATCATTGTTATTATTGCATACGAACTCTATTTTTTTTTTTTTTTATAAATTCAGCATTTATATACATTTTTCTTTCATCTTCCTGTAAGGATTTCTAGAAAACATATTTTTACCAGCTGGACTACTCTGCGAGATACATATGATTAAGAGTTATTTTGGCGGCGCTGATATTTTTAGGCAAATATCTGGCGGATATGAAAACGCTCCTGGGTGTGTGTGTGTGTGTGTGTGTGTGTGTGTGTGTGTGTGTGTGTGTGTGTGTGTGTGTGTGTGTGTGTGTGTGTGTGAGAGAGAGAGAGAGAGAGAGAGAGAGAGAGAGAGAGAGAGAGAGAGAGAGTAAAACACACACACACCATTTTGTCTTAAAAAAGCGTGAAATAAGGAAATAAGGGTTAATATATATCCTCCTTCAGTCTGGCAGGCGACACGCGGGGAGGGGCGGGGGTGGGGAGGGGAGGGGAGGGAGGGTAATCTGTAAAATTGCTCTTCTTAAAATTGCTCTCTTTGCTCCTAAGGTAACGTACGGCATCGTTTATGGACGGAGAGGGAAGGGGAAGGGGAAGGAGAGGGGGAAGGAAGGGAGGAGGGGAGAGAGGGTGGGGAAGAGGTAGGGAAGGAAGTAAGGGATGGGGGGATAGGGAGGTAGGGAAAGATAGGGGAATGCGTGGGGAAGAAACAGGGAAGAATTGGGGTAGAGAGGGGGGATGGGAGGGTGGCTTTGGGAGGAAGGGTGGGGAGTAGGGAGGGGAAAGAGGGAGTCATAGGGTAGGGAGGGGGAAGGGGCAAGGGAAAGAGGGGAGAATGAATAGAGAGATTGGTGTTTTTTTTTTTTTTTTTTTTTTAGGGGGGGTCGTTAAGATATATCCATTATGCGTCTTTTCCTTTGTGAAAATAAGTGTTCTGCTTGTTCTCCCTTTCATGTTTTTCCTTTACGATAGATGTTTTTAAAATGTATCTCATATATATGAATATATATACACGTCTGTGCGCATACATAAACATACATACGTACATACGTGCATACGTACATACACGTACACATATCCATACGTGTAAAGTGAACTACTTTACGTCACAACAAGGCAACAGCCCCTTCAATTCCTCCTTCCCCTCCCCCCCTCCCCACCCCGAATTCCCATTCCAAGGCGCGCACCCTGGTTTATGGGCGTCTGAGGAGGCCGAGGTGGGCGCTGCGGGAGATGGGCGGGCGGGCGGGGCGTGTTTCGTTTTTTCTCTCTCTCTCTTCTCTATCTTTCTTTTTCTCTTCTTTTATATTCTCTCTTTCTCTCTTTCTCTCTTTCTCTCTCTCTCTCTCTCTCTCTCTCTCTCTCTCTCTCTCTCTCTCTCTCTCTCTCTCTCTCTCTCTCTCTCTCTCTCTCTCTCTTCTCTCTCTCTCTCTCTCTCTCTCTCTCTCTCTCTCTCTCTATCTTATATATTATATCTTATTCGAGGAAGAAGAAAAAAGAGAAAGAGAAGGAGAGGCGAATATGCACGGAGAAACAGAAAGAAAAAGGAAAGACACTTGATAAAGACGACCGCAGCGGTCTGCATCCCGGTCGTGGAGGTCGTGCAGGGGCGGCCGTGGGTGCAACAGCGTGCAGCAGCAAAGGGCGTGAAGCGAAAATAGAGCGGGCGTTTCGGTCAAACAAGCACGTACACAGACGCGCCCGGCGACACCCTACATACACAAACGGGGGAAAAAAAATAAAAAAAAGATAAAGTGTAAAAAAATATATATAAATAAAAAAAAAAAAAAAGGTTGAAATAAAATATAGAAAAAAAACAAAATAAAAATAAAAAAAAAAGTATGAATTACAAAAAAAGAAAGTAAAAGAGAAATAGCCAAAAAAAAAAAAAATAAAAAAATACACGGGAGGCTGATTCTCGATGGGGTGACTTTTCAAAGTGGGAGTGTATAAAAATTGGGTCAAAAAAAAAATATACACCTCATGCATATTCATGGGCGTAGCAGGTGAAGTGCCGGGGGAGTGGGGGAGGGGGTGGGGGCAGGGAGGATGGGGTTAGGTAGGCACTGGCGGGCGGGTTGGGGGAGGGGAGAGGGAGGGTTGTAGGGGAGGATGGGGTTAGGTAGGTCTGGTGGGCGGGGGTGGGGGGAAGGGAGGGGGTTAGATCGAGGGTGCTTCAGATGATAGTAAAAGGCACTTTCCGATGGCACTGGGCAGTTTCCATCAGCGGCATGGCACTTTGGAAGAGTGGGAGAGGGAGGAAGAGTGGGGGAGGGGTATAGGGCGAGGGAGTGAGAGAGGGAAAGGAGAAAGAAAGAGAACGAACAACAAGGATAGGGAGAGGAAGGAGACAAATGAGAGAGAGAGAGAGAGATGAAGAGAGAGGGAAAGAGAGGAGGGGGAGGAAGGGGAGAAGGAGGCGGTGACGGGCGAGCATGCGAACAAATGTTGATTTTTATGACGGCCATAAGATAGCTTTTAAGATAATGAAATTGCACCAGCGCCCCCTCCCGACGCCGCCAAAGTGGTGATAGTTTTATTAATGTGCTTTGTGGCTGCCGCTCAGGACCGCGCGCTCGCGCCCTCGCTTCTCTCGCGCGAAGAGGCTCCGGGCGGGGACGCGCCTCGCTCACGCCCGCACGCAGGGGCGGCCGGTGAGCAGCGCAAGTGGGTGCTCGCGCCCTCTTGCTCGCAAGCACACACACAAGCATACACACACGCACGCCCACACGCACGCCCACACGCACGCACGCACGCACGCACGCACGCACACACGCACACACACGCACACACACACACACACACACACACACACACACGCACACACACACACACACACACACACACACACACACACACACACACACACACACACACACACACACACACACACACACACACACACACACACACACACGCACACACACACACGCACACACACACACACACACACACACACACACACACACACACACACACACACACACACACACACACACACACACACACACACACATATGCATATGTATATACGTGTATGTATTTAAAAGTATAAATACATGTGTATGTATGTCTGCATGCATGTTTGTGTGATATATACGCGTGCTTTTTCTAATCGGAACATAACTTTTATGTTCGTTTTTGTCTATTTCATCCGGAAGCCATTTCTATTCCGGCCGCGACCGACGTGCGGGGGGAGGGGGGGGGTCAGCACCGATTCCTAATCTAATTTATTCCCCTTTGCAAACTCTCTCTTTATGTGGTATGGGAGTTCTTGCTCCCTCTATCCCCCTCCCCTCTCTTTCTTTTTTTTTTTTTCTTTCTTTTTTCCATCTCTCTCCTTTCTCTTAGTCTTATTCTTCCTTTCTTTATGTGGTATGGGACTTCTTGTTCCCCCCCCTCTCTCTCTCTCTCTCTCTCTCTCTCTCTCTCTCTCTCTCTCTCTCTCTCTCTCTCTCTCTCTCTCTCTCCTCTCTCTCTCTCTCTCTCTCTCTCTCTCTCTCTCTTTCTCCTCCCTTTTTTCTCCCTCTCTCCCTCCTCCTCCCTCTCTTTCCTTTCTTTATCTCCTTCCTTCCTTCCTTCTCCCTTTTCTCTCTTTCTCTTCGTCTTATTCCTCATCCTCGCTCTCATCTTCGATTCCGTTCACGCCCAGTTGGAGATACTGTTTGGGAAAAGAAAGTTGTTTTGCCTTTTCTCGTTTTTATTTCCCCTTCCTTCGCCCTCTGGCTGCAGGTCGTACGAGTGCTGCATGTCCTGCCACGTGGGTCCTCGGCCGCAACTGTCATTAAAACTGTCCTTCTAGGAGTTTACAGCATCCCGTCGATTATTATCGTCCTTTGCAGCTCTCTCCCCCCTTTTTTTTATCCTGTGTGAGCTGATCTCTCTTTCCTTCTTCTCATCTTTTGCGACTCTTCTTTCTTATCCTCTCTCTCTCGTTCGCCCTTTTTTCTCCGCAACTCTCTCCCTTTCCGATTTATCCTGCGTGAACTCACCTCCTCCTCCGTCCTTTGTTCTCTGCAGCTCTCCCTTCCCTCTTTATCCTCCCTCGTTCTCCGCAACTCTCCCTCCCCTTTTTATCCTCCCTCTCCTCCGTAACTCTCCCCTCCCTTTTCACCTTCCCTCTCCTCCGTCCCTCGTTCTCCGCAGCTCTCCCTTCCCTCTTTATCCTCCCTGTCCTCCGTCCCTCGTCCTCCGCAACTCCCCCCCCTTTCATCCAGCGTGGACTCACCCCCTCCTCCTTCCCCCAGGCATCAACGTCTTCGCGGTGATCCTCCACACGCACCTCCTCGGCCGCAAAGTCCGCGTGCGACACCTCCGCGACGGCCGCGAGCTCGAGCCCATCGCGCAGGACAACAACTACGACTTCAACTACCAGGAGTACCGCGCCCTCAACACGCCCAGGACGGTCTTGCCGGTGAGTGGCCGATGCCGAGTGTGTGGGGTGAGTTTGTGTTGTGTGTGTGTGTGTGTGTGTGTGTGTGTGTGTGTGTGTGTGTGTGTGTGTGTGTGTGTGTGTGTGTGTGTGTGTGTGTGTGTGTGAGATGTGTATTTGGTTCTGTGTGTTTTTATAGTGTGTACATATGATTTGTCACAGATAATACTACTGCTGCTTATACAATTATTATTGTTAGTATTAGTATAATTTCCAATATATCGTTGAAATACAAAGAAACGCTGCGAGGGCGTTCATAATCCCAGATTAGGCGTAGCGCAACGGGCGCCCCCAAGCCAGCCGTAATCCGCAACCCCCCCCCTCTCCCCAGGGCGACCACCTGATCGGCGAGTGCACGTACAACAGCCGCGAGCGCTCCACCATCACCCTGGGGGGCTTCAAGACGCGCGACGAGATGTGCCTGTCGTTCCTGTTCTACTGGCCGCGGGTCGACCTGTCGCTGTGCCACTCCAAGCCGTCGCTCAACACCGTGCTGCACTCGCTCGGCATACAGGAGCTGTCGGCGTGAGTCGGGCTGGGCCTTTCCTCGGCTTTTGTAGTTTGCTTTGGCTCTTGTTGGATTTTTTCTCTTCATTTTTTTATTTGTAAGGTTCGCTGTTGCTTCCTGAATGTTAATGCTTGCGTTTATGTAGTTTCTTGGAAGCAAATGATCGAATGCCCCTTTTTGCTCTTCTCAGAGATCACATTTGTTCGTCTTGAACACTGTTTTTATCGTAAAGAATAGATTCAGATATAAGTACTTCCATGTAGAAGATTCAAACCCTCTGTGTCTCTCGCATAAGTATAGACATTTGAAGTTCGGAACGCTCTCTATCTCTTGCATAAGCATCAATACTTCCGCGTTCAGGATCCCATTCGCTTCCTCCTAACCGCCCTTCCTCCCCCGACAGTGACTCCGACCCCATCAAGATCCGGCGGCCGATCGAGCTGTCGGGGAAGACGCTGGAGTGGCGGCTCCTCAACTACGACTGGAAGAATCAGTTCGAGTACTTCCAGGCCGCCACGCACACCGGCACCATCAACCCCATGTGCTGGAGGCGGGGCGAGTCGCTGCTGCCGGTGAGTGCTTGCCTGTTAGCTGGGTATATTTGTTTGTTTGCTGTTGCCATCGTGCGTTGAACTCTTGGTACGGCGCGCTGGTTAGCGTACTTTTTTCTTGTCGTGTCTTTTGTTCGTCTCTCTATTTATGTCTTTTTCCTCGCCCGTCGCAGGAGCTGGAGAAGATGGACTACGACTACCCGAACATCACGGAGCCGTGGGCGCCCGAGAACGTGTGTCGCCAGCTGAGAAGGATCTCGCGGCGCCGCAAGAACAAGGGAGGGCGGAGGAGGAACCACCACCCCACCCCCACGGGGGAGACGGAGGAGGACCTGGAGGAGGAGGTCATGATCGACGACCAGATGAACTCCCGCCTGATCGAGAGCATCGACGTCGACCCCTACAACCACAGGGACTTCAATCCCACATCGAGGACCGCATTGAGAACGACCACTTCGAGGGCTTCGGCGTCGAGGACACGGGCACCGCGGACCGCGAGCTGACGGAGGAGCTGCTGGACATGGAGAGGGAGCTCGGGAAGGAGCTGGCCAACAAGGCGCAGGACCACTTCCAGGAGCAGACGGCGCGCCCGGCCAGCGGAGGGGGGCGGCGTCGTGGTGGGCGCTCGTGGCCGCGCTGTGCCTGCTGCGCCTCCACCGCCTCTACGACGGCCACGGCTGAGGCGCCGGCGAGAGGAACTGCGGAGAGGGACGTCGGCGAGACAAAAGTTCCCATAGTATTCGTATTTAAGAAAGAATAAATCGCGCTGTGAAAACCCGTTGTTTTAGGAAGGAGAATAGGACACATACTCGGTATAAGCATTTCCCTTCACGCTCGTAGTGGGGAGTGAATAGCATTTATTTTCTGCTGTGGAAAGGACCGCTAACCCGACCGAGGGGCGCTCGAAGGCCCCTGGCTAGTGTGTGTATTCTGACCGGTGCGGCCGCTGCGAAGGGCCGGCCGCTCTGCCAGGGCGCGGCTTGAAGGACCCTTCCGCGCTGGACACTCCCTCGTGCTTGTGATTCCTTCGCGAAGAGGTTGTGTGGTTCCTTCAAGCTAGGATCCTAAATATATATATTCCTCCAAACATATATATATTTCCTCCTGGGTACAAGGGACTCCTGAGACGTGCCAGGAGACAGTTTGGACGGGAGGCGAGGCCCGCGAGGACCTCCCGTCGCCGCGGCTTCTGCCCGCGTCCTGCCGGCGGGCGGCGCGCGGGCCGGCCGCCTCGGGCAGCCCCACTAAACCTCAGTAGTAGCTCTTGGTCTGCTATATTACAGTGCCTGATTTTGTATATTTCGCTTTTGTGTGTTTTGAGGGACATTTTATCCGATGAGGACTCTGTGTGAAAGAAATATGAATCATCGTTGTGGAGTTTATATGCGATTTTTTTGTGTAAAATAATAGATGAATATATATATACATATATAATTTTTAAGAAGTGGTTTTTAGTAAAAAGAAATATTTATGAGTTGAATATGTGATTGGATACAGTGATTCGACCATTTTTATGTCTCGGTGATGTGTATTTCACCTTTTGATTGTTCCTTCACAAACACATTATATATATTGCATGGTGACAGTTTCTAGTAAACGCTTTCAATTTGTGGACAAAAAAGATAATTTAGCAAAAAATCATCTGTTGTGAATTGCATAATATTATTGTCATCTCTGGAATGGAAAACATTGAGTGTTATTCTTTTCGTTTTTGATGCATGTATTGCATGCAAGACGAGGCAAAAATCTCTAAACTTTTCGGCGAGAAACGTTGGACCTTCAGATGCATTGAAGAAAATGCTGGTCACTAAAATTTCTGTTGATTCTATTTTTATTACCAATGCCAGAAAAAAAAATGTAATGAAAAGCTAAACAATATATATATAGTATCATCTGTAATTTGATGCTGTCTTGGTTTGCATAGACTTTTCATACCATTCTGTGAAACACTAATCAAGAACGTTGCTTTTGAAATGTGTGAGGTTTGAATACTATAGACACTTAACCCTTCATTGCCATACTCCACGAATGCATAATGTATTTACTAATGAAACCTTTTTTTTCTTCAGTGGAAATCTATTGCTCGTAATGCAGCTAACTGTAAATACCATATATAGTTCTTTCAAGCAGATTGTAAAGTAAAAAAAAAAAAATGATGATATAACAGGGTATGATACTTACGACATCCAGTAAAAATTAAAGATGAAAAAAATATATATAGGCCTGGCAATGTCAAGTGTAGAAGACGAGGTTTCTCTCTATAGATCACTTCCTGAGTTGTCAATGAATCTGATGTTGCACGCCGATTCTTTGCAAAAGAGAGGGTGCAACTGTGCAATTTGCTCTAGAGACCGTGCAAAGACTGGGGCATAATTCTTAAGAGAGGTAAAACCACAGATGGAAGAACAAGAACAAGAACATGACTATAGTTGAAACCCTTGTTTAAAAAAGGTATGAAAGGGTGTTAGACTAGCATAATTAAGTGTTTATGAACCACCTTAATCTCCCTGTCGGCGGGACTATGTGCCTGAAACCCTTGTAATAATAACATAAATTTGAGCTTCCAAGAATAAGCAAACTGTATATTGAAATTGAAATTAGAGAAAGTAAAGAATCATTAAGACGCCTCTTTCATCTTCAAAAAGTCATAGATTCCTCCTCCTCTCCCGTTGACCCCCCCCTCCCCTGGTAGCTTGACAACAACGTCCCCCCCCCCCCCCGTCCCTTCCTCCCCCTGAGTAATCACATCCACAACTGCGCTATTGTGATAGAAGATTTTGTAGGATACTTGACCAAAACACATTGTGTAGGGAAGTGTTAGTGAGCAAATTACGTTCGTAGCGAATAAGACCACAGAAAAGGGGCGGAAGGAAAAGAAAAGAGAGAGAGAGAGAGAGAGAGAGAGAGAGAGAGAGAGAGAGAGAGAGAGAGAGAGAGAGAGAGAGAGAGAGAGAGAGAGAGAGAGAGAGAGAGAGAGAGAGAGAGAGGGGGGGGAGGGTAGAAGAAAAAGAAAAACCACATTAAAACCGAAGCGACGCCTCGGAGGGCCGCTCCTGGAGGTGGGTGTCCTTTCTCTGCCTCGCTTCCCTCCGCATCGAAGGCTTCAGTGGCGGGAGGAAGCAAGTTGCGTGAAGCGAGAAAGTGTCTTAAAACTTTCCTCCCAACAACTTTCCCCTTCCTCCTCCTAGCCCCCCCTCTCCCTCTCCCCTCCCCTCCTCCTCCCTCCCTCCTCCTCTCTTGCTAAAAGATGGGCGGGTTGTGGGGCACGACTTAAGAAGTTGACATTTATATCTGGAAACCGCTGTTGCCGACTCTTGTCTCGGAAATGCATGAGATGTCGCGAGAGGACGAGTTCGGCTCCGCGTCTGTTGCTGCGCGGCTTCGGAGAGCTCGGCTTCGGAGAGCTCGGCTTCGGAGAGCTCGGCTTCGGAGAGCTCGGCTGGTCGATGTGACTGTGTAAATGTTCTGCAGTAGAAAGACGCCAAAGTAGATGTGGACGGCTACATAGTGCGACGTGTACCGATCTTTTGCAGCCATATATAATATGTGAAGTTTATATTACACCGGGCATATGTAAAGTTTATATTTCCCATGATTAATACACGTCGAGACCCAAACTCATTGACCTGGTTGCAGGTGAGTTGATAGCTGTGTGAATTTGTGTTTTCATTTGTACACAGGAATTCGCTTGATTCTCTTCGCTACGAGTCTCGCTGCCTCTGTCACTGCGCCACGTGACTTCAGCGCCAGCCACGAGTACCTGGCGCCTATAATCAACTTTTCTGCACGGTGGTCTAACAAATGTAAACAAAGCAAAACAAAAAAAAAGGAATAAAAAATAAATGAATGATAATAAATAATAATTATTCAGTGTAATAAACTAACGTGACATCTGCCTTCATGAGTGTAGATTTATTTTCTTACAACATTGTGCGCTGTTCTTAGGTGTTCAATTCGTTCATTTACCTCTGTAAGTGTTCTGGTAAGAGGGAGTGTGTCTTTCTGGCCCGTCGTTTCTCTACACTTCGCGTTCTTGCCACTTCGTTTCGTCAGTGTTGTTGCCGCCAGAGTCCACCCGAGAGCCGAGTCCGTGGTCCCGAGACAGTGAGTGGGCGGGCGGCATGGACTGTTGGTGTTCTTATTTATTTTGTTTTTATCTTTTCCCGTGTGTGCGTATTGTCTCTTTCTTTTTTCTTTGTTCTTTGTTCCTTGGCTTGTTCTCCCGCCTGTTCTTGGGATACTGACTCGGATCGACACTTGTGCTGAATGCTGTTATTCGTCGGCGTTTTGAAGGAGTCGTTCGTAAGGGTCATCTTCCATTTCGGCTGTTCCCTCCTTCTCATTTGCCTTTTCCTTTTCCATCTCTTCCACCTCCTCCATCTTTTCTCCTCCTCCTCCTCCTTCTCCTCCTCCTCCTCCTCCTTTCCTTCTCCTCCTCCATCTCCTCCTCTTCCATTTCCTTCTCCTCTTCCTCCTCCTCCTCCTCCTCCTCCTCCTCCTCCTTCCTCCTCCTCCTCCTCTCTCTCCTCTATCTCCTCCTCCTTTTCATTTCATCCCACCTCCTTATTCCACTCTCTCCTAATTCCGTGCACCATAAGGGTTATACCTCTTTATATTAAGTGTCTTATTTTGAACCTTACGAACGACTTCCTTCAAGAGCCGACGCCGGAGATCTCACACACACAATACTCGACTCTCTTATGTTCCTAATTTCGAAGATCTGTTCTGCAATACTGACTTTCTTAATAGACGTGTGTAGGCTACTCCACAGGTGCGGGAGTGTGATATTACCTTCAAGTTCATAGGTCACTTTTTTGTTTTTGTTTTTGCCCCTTTTCTTCTCTCTCTTCTTTTTTTTTGTATTTTTTTGTTATCTGTGTATGGCGTCTGTGATCCCGTATGATATTTCTTCTTTTTTTTCTCCTTGTTTTAAAATCAGGTTTTGCGTTTATACTAAGCTTCTGTTTTTCCTCCTCTTCCTTCCTTCATTCATTTCTTTGTTTTATTGTATTCCTCCTCTTTTTTTTTACCTCTTTTCTCTCTTCACAAATGCCCCTACCCCCTCCCCCCCACCCTCCCGCTAGTCTCACTGATTCAATCTTTTCTTTCTTTTTTTTCTCTCTCTTTATGGGATCATACTCACCTTTTCTATTCCCCCTTTCCCCACTACTTAAAAAAAAATATTTTTTCTTCTTTCCCCTTCCCCCTTATTACCCCCCCCCCCCATTCCCCTCTACTTAAAAACTTATTATTATTATTTTTTTATTTCCCCCACTTGACCCTTTTTATTATTTTTATTTATTTATTTTTATCCCCCCCTCCCCCTTCCCCAATACCTTCCGCCATTGCTCTTTCTTTTCTCTCATGACACACGTTCTTGCAAGAAGGGGCCGGACTGTCATGTATTTACATTTTCTTGTACGACCAAAACTATTGAAGATATGTATAACCAGTGGGTATTTTATATCTGTGAATGTAAATTTGTATAGCTTGTAAATAGTAA